ATAGCTGGTAGCTAGAATTATCATGTATACAAATGTTGAATCACTGTGTTGTACACCTGAAACTAATGTAATACTGTGTGTCAACTACCCTTCATTAAAAAAAATAAAGAATAAAAATAAAAGTAATCAGTGTAAAACAGTTCAAGGGAAAAAAGGTGTGTATGTATAAACATACACACACACGGCATGATAAAATGATAAAGCAAATGGGGTAAAATGTCAATAATAAGTGAATCTACTAGTTTTCTGTATTATTTTATAACTGCAAATTCTGTTAAGTTTGAAATTATTTTCAAATAAAAAGTTTTTTTACTCACATTACAAAATTACAATTATGGTACTGATTCCAGGTCTGTTGGTAAAAAAATTCATTTCTAAAGGAAAACTCATTACTTAAAGTGTTAAATTATCTGTAGCATAACTTCAGGTGGGAAATGAAAAGAGCTTACCCATGAATGGGAATGCAAAGAAGCTTTTCCATATTAGAAAGAATAATTTGTACTGTGTCTGGTGTTCTGGAACAGCCCAACTCTGTCACCAAGAGTGATTTGGTAATATCTAAAAGAAAATGTTTTAAATGCAATCATTAGAGTATACTACTAAGAATTCTGGTTAAAAAAAATGAGACACTTGCAATTCAGGATAATATAAGAGAGTTTTATCCTTTTTCCTAGTTGTATCAAATTTGTTTCTAAGCCTTGAAATATTAAAATTCTGATAAATTTCTCTTCCCCAAGTGGTCATTTTTATAATCATCAAAAAGTCTAGCTTCTTACATTATACCCCAAAAAGTGTAGTATATAACTAATTTGCCTGCATGCATACCTTCATAAAAAGGTGGAATTTAGAAATTAAGTAATTTATATATAGATTTGAAACAAACAAAGTTAAACTAAGTGGTAGCTATTAGGTCCATTTCCTAACTTGACAAAATTATCCAGTGCTTTCCATTCCCTCTTTGAAGCATCATGATTGAAGGTCATGACACACTCAATGCTCTCGCCTACCAGGCTTCATGTGTACCCTAGTGGGGGTATGTGTCACCAATTTGTTCCAAACATGCTTATAATTGTTATACTTCTCTTAATCACATAAGTATTATGTAAACCATAAATAAAATTACAAAAAGGGAAAGAGTTATTTCTATGAAAGCTACCGTATTCCTGCAATTTGAAGATGCACATTTTTCACATGTTAACATCTCAAAAATCAGGATGCATCTTTCAATCTTTGGGGTCTTAGAGTTTAATAAAAAGGAAATGAACTAAAAATCTGGTCTCAAATTAAGTGTTTGAGGAGAAAAACTATAAAATTATAGGGGGATTCTGAACTTAGACTAGCAAGTATCTTTAAATTCTTGTTGTGCTCAGAAGAATGGGAAGAGCAAACTGTGGGAAAAGCTGGACATGGCTTATGGAAAAAAGGTGACTCAAAACCTCAATGAGCTGTCACATAGAAAAAAGACTTAAAATGCCAATCATCGAGCTCATAAAAAATATATAGGGAGCCCCTACTGATCTTCCTACCCTTGAACCTAGCAAGCTCCTGCCCTCAAGTGGTTTTGCTCAGTAGCACTTTTCTTGCTTCTACTATCATGTTCCAAACTGCAGGTGAAATAAATAAGGGAAAATATGAATCAGTTAACACCTGGAGAACTCCACAGGTTACCACTCAAAAGCAGTAAAATACAAATATATAAACCAACCACACCGAAAATTAGAGGATAAACCTACCCTCTTGCTGTGAAACCTGTAGCTTTTGACCATTACAAAAGGCACCCTTTCCTTTCCTGCCAGTATACATCTTATCCTCCACGCAACTGTACACAACTCCAAATTCCATCTGCAGAAGGAAAGAAGTTTCCTTTACCAAACCTGAGTAATCAATAATTTTCATCAAATCAATACATTTTCTAACACAGTAAAAAGAAAATCTGGTATACTAAGAGTGTTTTCAAGTGGCTGAACTGTGGGCGCTTAGATGGCATTTTCCATCTTACTGAGAAGGAAGAGGTCATCAGACTTGAATCCCTGACTCTTGCCTCATCATTTCTAGCCCTAAGAGCACCCCCACTTGGCCTCTCTCACTCCTGCCTCAGATGAAGACAGATGTTTCCTACTTTCTAAGGTGAATCCTTTTTCCTGTGTTATTGTCTTAGCCTCTTAAACTTCTCTGAAAAACTGCTTCATCAACTGACCCCCCCTTCTCTTGGATTTCGATTTGGTACCTTCTCACTGAATTTCTCCTTCCCTTACAAAACCTTCCAAAAAATGGTATCTACTCATTTTCTCTTCACTGCCAAAGAGTAGTTTATACTTTGTATCTCCTGTTCTCTTAAAACATAACAATTTGGCTCTGCCCTGATCATGCATTCTCTGGCAACTCCCGGCAAAGAAATTAACAAAGAATGACGACCAAATGCCCTCTCTGAAGAACTGGAGACTGCTGACCGTCATCACAGTTCTTCAGTACCTCACTTAGTACCTCCATGCCTCTGGCAGTACTCTCTTAGCACTCCTACCTCACTCACTAGTCTGTCCTGGTGTTACCTTTTTTTAGGACCTTCTTCTCTTCTAAACTCTTGAAAGTTGTGCACTGCTGGTTTTTTTACGCTTCCATTTCTTGTACTTCCTTTCAGTTCTCTATATTCTTACAGGTTTGTTCTTTCAAGTCCAGAAATTCAACTGTAACTCTCCTGAACCCCATCATCACAGATAAGAACCTATGCTTCAGGACCTAGTCTTGTAGAAACCCCAGCCAAAGAGGTCAAAATCATTCATTACCTGATCTAACCTCATTCCTTCCCCATCATATTTTATCTTGAAAACATTTCCAGAATGGCATTTCCTGGGTTATTCTCACTGCAACATCTTAGTTCAGAATCACCTACCCCATGCCTCTGGTATAATCTTTATAATCTTTACCTTGCTATAATTATCTGTCACTCTGTACTTTAAAAAAACCTCTACTGGTTTCCTATCACTTAAAAACACTAAATGTCCTGGCCTGCCTGGACAGGCTACAATGCCTCACAAAGACCACAACTAACTTACCCCATCAGTTCTGCTCCTGCCACTTCCAGTTTCACTCACAATGAACATCTTATCACTCCCCACACACATATCATGCTCTTCAAGCTGTTCTTTCTGGTTAAAATGCTTTCCCTTTTCTTTACCTCGCAAATGCCTGAGCTCCTAGACCCAACTAACATGACCAAAGTCTAAGACCCCTACTATTATGGAGTTTTCCACACCATTTCTCAGTAAAGTTGCTTACACCCTTTTCATGTCCTTGCTGTATTTCTTTTCATGGTTCCACCACACATTATCTGTTAACACATCTAACTTTGTCACTGAGCTGGGAGTTCAATGGCAGGGACAGCACACAGTCCAGCTGATTTTATGCCAAGAGCTCACACAGGTCCTTCTGGATGTTCTCACTGATTAATACAACCCTGTGCCTAAGATTTCATTTGCACTACTTATGCTTTTACTTGCAGAGATTTCTTGACTCTCTTGTGTACATGCTGATCAAACTTATCACAAGCTCCTTGAAGACAGGTATGTGGGATGTTAGCAAACACATCCATTGTTTGACCAATCAAATAGCTAAACAGCAAGGGAATGCAATAGCTACAGATTTTACTCTACTAGGTTTTCAATGTAGCAGATATTTGGGTTCATGAACATACTCTGCATTTTCCACATATGCTTTGGTATCAACCACTTCCTGGTATTTCAGTGTCTCCCTTCACTGACACCTATTAAAGGATTTCAAACAGAAATGGAAGGATATCTCTTCCATTAAGAATTTTATATCATAGGTCAACTACTGTGACATCAGACTCTACTACATACATAATGATGATTAAATACTGAATTGTATTTCAGTTACTTTTGTATATTTTTTTCCTTACAACTCTTCTTCTCAAAAATATAAAATTTTCTTTGCTGGAAAAAAGTATAATTTTTGCTGGAAAATGATCATTTTAATAGTTCTGAGGCTCATTTCAAAATATAGACTGAATACAGGCACAAACCTAAATCTATTATGTTTATTCTTTCTCAGAAATGAGAACAAGGCATTTTAGCAACTATCAATTTAAATAACATACCTTTTTATTTACAACAAAGCCAATCGAAACTGCTACAAAAGGAAATCTTAAAAGAAAACATACACATACAAATTTACCAAGACAGAACTTGTTTTCAATAAACATGCATTTTCATAATAGAATTGCTTACAAAAATTTTCATATAAACAGTATCATTCCTCCTATTCCAGAACAGTGTGTATAGTATGCAACCCTTTGTGTCAATGGTAGGGGAGGTAGTATATACAGATACATACACAAGAGGATGTTCCTACAGGCATGAAAATCTCTGAAAGGATTCACAAGAAACTGGTAACAGTGGTTACCTCCAAAGATGGGTCTTAAGAATTGGAGTCAGAAGTGAGAAGGACACTTTGCCGTTTTGTATGTTTTGAAGGTTTAACACTATGAATATAGTAACTATGTAAAATATTTTTTCAAAAAATAGAAACAAATTTAAAAAATATTTTAGTTGATCATGGTTAAAAAGAAAAGCCTTTCTTCTTTGGTCATTTCTCCTAGTCTAGACCTATAAACACAGGTATTGAATTGTGTAGAATAAATTGTTACTTGTCTCAACTCTAACACCAAATTTACAGCTTCACATCTGAAAAGTAAACTGTTTGCCACAGTTTCTGCTATAGTGACATGAATTTGAACACACATATTGTAATTTCTGACTCAGAAGAGGATCCAGATGAAGAAAATAGGCAAATACATTCAACATTAGGTACTGAAAATAAAAACTTCAAAAAATATTTAATAGTTTTTAACAAAAATGGGATCATAGTATACACACTTTATTATAATCCCTATGTTACAATGTCCCTTGAGTATCTCTCCATATTTACATCCTATCACATACAGACTCTACATCTTAACTTTATAGACTTTAACAATTCTTTATTAATAATAATATCTACAGCTACATGGCAACTTTAAATATAACATTTCTATGTAATCCCACCAACTAGGTTACTCATTATAACCCTCACTGGCAATTCCACCAAGTTTTCTTCTAGTGCTCTGTGTCTGGCATTCTATAAGTTCTTATGTAAATACACTACTCATTTGAGTCCCCAAACAATTCTATTACCATTAAAAGTCACAGTTTATAGATTTTTAAAAACGAAAACAACTGAGGTTTAGAAAGATTATGTAACTTGCCCAAGGTCAGAAAACCTATACAATAGGCTTTCACAAGGATTCAATCCAAGTCTACTGATCCTAAAAACCATGCTCTTTTTGACAGTTTTTTCCTCCTGGATTGAAACCCATTCTATACAGACAACACTGCAATAATGACCCCATTAGTTCCTTAACTGATCTCCAAGCAACCATGATGCTGGCTTACATTTCTACCTGGTTCTAACAGTGAGAAAAAGGATGGCGGGCAGAGCACTCTCCTGTGTATATCCACAAGATTCCTATTTCATCACTTCTCCCACATCTGATGAAAATTCTCCATAATTTTACTCTACAAATTACACAATTCTCTAAAGTATTTATGTTCATGAACACAGTACTCTAAAGGTCTATTCAATTACTAAATAGTAACTACAATATTCCAATTGTAAGAACCTACCTATGTACAAAGTTAGTTGTTCCATCAATAGGGTCAATGATCCACGTAGGGTTGTCAGTTAAGACACTTTTCTCCCCAGCTGCCACAGATTCCTCACCAATGAAACTGAAAGCGAGAATGACAAACTCCAAATCTTTACATTGCTTTCAAGAATTTTCAAATCTTAACATTCCCTTAGCTATATAGAGTCTGATGTAAAACATAACAAAAGTCTACACATACTTTTCTTGTTATTTCTTTTTCCTTCTGTCTGATGAAATTGAGGAAGTTTTATTTCCCCCAAAGTCATGTGGAAAATAACGGGATTCAAAATTCTCAAATGCAATAACAGGGTAAGTAAAACACATGCATGTGTACGCACACACACACATCTGAAAAGGGCATTTGTTGCAAATGAGAACTTTTTAAGGGAATGTGGTAGTTTTAAAAATAAGTCCACAAATTCTCTCAGATGTCTCTGTTCAAGAGGTAGAGCCTAACAACCCTTGCCTTGATTGAGAGTTTGGACTTAGTGATTCCTTTTTAACACAGAGAACAAAGCAGAAGTGATAATACGCAACTGTGAAGACTCCTTCACAAAATGGCACTGTGTTTCCATCTTACTCACTCTATTTCCCCTCCTCTCTCTCGCTCTGGGGGAAGCCAGGCCCTGTGTTACAGGCTGCTCTGTGGAGAGACCCCCATGGGGGAGAACTGAGGGAAGTCTACAAGCAGACAAAGCATGAAGAACTGACATCACCAATAATGACATAAGTGGAAGGATCATTCAGCCCCGCTTCAGCCTTGAGATGACTGCCTCCCTCACCCAAGACTCTAGCCAGGACTAGGTAGCTAAGCCACTCCCATATTCCTGACCAGAAACCTCTGACATAATAAATGTTTTTTATCTAGAGCTCCTAAATCTGTAGGGCAATTTGTTATGCACCAATAGTATAAAGAACATTAAATAAAGAGAAAGCAAATCATCCATTAAAAGTACTGTGTACTATGCAGTATATCTCAGTACATTCTGTAAACAGTGTCCCAGTCACTGGTTTTCTTCTCTCCTTTCCTACATTTTTTGTTTCCTTTACTCAATACAAAATTGTCCTAATAATCATTATCATAACTTTCTTTTCTCTCTTTTTGTCTTAGCTATAAACCTTTCTATTGAGAAGTATATTTAGCCACAGCTTTAAACATTTTCTCTTCTCATTGGCTAAAATACCAAAAATGGCCACAGGCAAGACCAAGAAGAAGTAGAGAATGACAATGTTAAAACTTTAAAATGAAAACTATGTTTCTGGGCTTGGAAGAGAGCCCTGATATTAGTATTTTCTCTCAAACTCCCTAAAGCTGCCCATTCTTCCATATAAAAAAGTCTGCATATAGAGAATAAAATTGAACTTCTAAATCATGCCTATGGCAAATATCTGTCATGTTAGCTTCCTAGCATCCCAACATTCATTGCATTATAAAAGAATCCAAACACCCTGTTGGCAGCTCCCTGGCAGCTTGAGCTTAGGCAACAGCCTGAGTTCAGCAAGAAGACGTTCCTGCCCAGACTTCGTAATCTTGATTTAATGAGGTAAAGACACTCAGAGCCAGTGGAGTCAGGAGGGGGGCACCCAGCTGCATGGGAAGCAGCAGCTCCTGGCCTTTGTCTATCTAGCGTGGCCTTCTTCCGAGCCCTGCTCTCGGGGCTCCAGAGCTAACCAACACTCTCCAAATAAATTCCTGCTCAGCTTAACTAAAGTCAACTTCTGTATCTAGAATGGAAGTTTTCATCTACTCTACTGACTCAAACCTAGGTTTCACTTCATCTGTGTGAAAGTGAAATAAGAAATACCTGTGAGATGGATACTTTTCCTTTATGGAAGAGATAAGCATGTTTTCAACTTTTTGATCAGTAGCAGTTACCAAATCAACTGGAGAACTTTTAACCATAACATTCATTTCATTTTTTAGAGCTTCACGAACCACCTAAAAAGATTTTTTTGGTAAGCAAATAGAGAGACCATAAATTATTTTACATCAAAGTCAAAGATGAAATACAGAAACAGTTTGAAACATTCCATCTGTCCTCAATGATATTTTTAAAAACTTCTCACCATAATGTATATAAAATAAACCATTAGTGGTTATGACCTTTACAAAATCATGTAATTTTACATCCTCTTTTAGATTTACAATCCTCATTACAAAAGTTTAATGACATAAAAATCAAGAGTATTTACTCCATTTAAAGTGTCGAGCAAAATTAAAACATATACAGATTAACAGAAACACATGTTTTATTTAACAAGCAACCACACACTGTTCACATCCATCACATTATGGCTGACAAGATTTCAGTTCATACCTCTCCAGCTTGTCTTGCTAGGGTAACTGCATAATCCATGCATTCCTGCCAAAGATCAGCCATCTTCTGAATGGATTTAACACGTATCAGGACAAAGCAGTAACAAATCTCTAAAAGTCTTAAGTATACAATAGTTAGTTCACAAACACATCCCAATTGACAAAATACTTTCATTCAAGATTCATACTTTTCTAGAGCTCAAATTTTTTTACACATTTATTCATAGCTCCACTAAAAATCACTGTTTACCTTAATTACTTCACTTCTATTATAGAAACATTTTTATAACAAAAAATACTCTGTTCATCTCCTAAAGTGCCCATATTGTTTCACATTTCCAAAAACATTGGTGTGGGGGAATGGAGAATAACACAAGAACTATTTCAAAACTAGGTGCATGTTTAGGGGAAGAATAAAGTGAAAATACAAGGAAACACTGGAAAGCCTGAAATCCAAGAAGCTGTGAAGGGAAGGGGTAGCAGTACATGTACTAACTGAAAGTGAGGCAGGGCCACTGCTTTACACAGGTGAATTCTTTTAATGAGATTGTAAAGAAGCACTTAAAGCTCAGAGATGATAAATAATTCACCCAATGTTATACTGACAAATGTCACTGTCAGAATTTCAAATTCAATTATGATTTTAAAGTCTGTTGCTCTTTATATTAAAACATTCTGAGGAAAGAAATTTCCAACACTAAAGAAATAACACAGCAAAAAAAGAAATTTATTTCCCTGAGTTTCAGAGAGGAAAAAAAACAACAAAATATTTTTATCTTCTGAGTTGTCCAACTTTCCAAAGACTTCTGAAGAGAAGACTCAAATAACTTGCCACCAGTAGGACTACACTGTAAAGTCTGTACCTAGGACAGTGAAGCTTTTTAAGCTGTCAGACCTAGAAAAATGTGGCATCATCTATAAAGCAAGCCCAATTTTGTCACCTTTTTAAATTGAGGATAACTAACACAGAGTTTTACCTTTAAGGCTACTCAGAGATTCCTATCACGGGTGCTAGTATATGAATGGGAAGGGGACAGGAGTGGAGGGCAAAGGATAGATACAGCAGTGAGCTGTTTCTGCTAGTGGCTTTTTCTTCCTGTTATAAGCATTTTAAAACATTTACTCTTTGAGTAATAGACGCAACTGCTTAGTGTTTCAAAACTGTTCCCAAACTTTTTTTCTCATTCTTACTCCCAGTCCTCTCTTCTTGACTCAACTGAGGTAGATGTTCTCCTGATGCAACTGCTTTCTTGCCAGAATCTTTGTTCAAGCCACTCAATACCTCCTCCTCCTAATAGCAATGATGTAACTCCTACCAATTCTTCAAGGCCCATTTCCAAAGCTACCCTTTCTTCAGGGATTCTCCGCCAGTAGCCATTACTTGTTTAATCATTCTACAATTATTTGCCGAATACCTAGTATTTGCTGTACTGCTCATGGTGAGAAAAAACAGGCCTGGTTCACACTCTAGTAGGGAGTCATGTTAATCCAAAAAATCACAGGCTACATGTAAACTCATAAATGTAATAAAGGCTAAATTGGAGAAGTGCAATGAGAATCATGTAACAGGGAAGCTCTGACCTGGTGTCAGGTATTAAATAAGGTTTCCCTCGAGGGCATGATTAAATCAAGATTTGAAGGACAAAAGGCCGTTAACTAACTCAACTGCAAGACACCTGGTCTGTGAAGAGTAAGTAAAAGGCCTAAGTGTGAAAGCTCAGAGATAAGGGAGACCTGGGTAGATGAGCCTGGAGAGATTGAAGCTCACCCATGCAGGGCCTGAGGGATAAGATTTTGATTTGAGAGCCATGAGGAATGACTTCACCATGACTACTGAACAGAATCGATTAGAGGGTGTACAGAAGAGTGGAGAGTATGTCTGCGTAGACTGGATGGGAGATTTGGATTTAGGGGATGCAGTTTAGTACCAGTAGTTCAGAGGAGACCTGATGCCAGGCTTAAAGGGGTGGGGATAGAATAGAGAAGTTGAGAGAATCAAGAGATTTGCTTTGGGAGGTAAAACTGGTGGGACTTAGTAATAGATAGGAATATGGGGTAACAGGGAGAGTTTAATGATGCCCAAATTTCCCATTCTGGCAAATGAATGGGTAATGGTGGCACCTATTTAAACAGGGAGCATGGAATAGAGTCAGCTTTGGGGATCTGTAGGAGGGAGGGGGATTAATAGTTTAATTAGAGGACAACAAGCCTTCGTGCAATCAAAAGGAGATGTCAATTAGGCCGCTGAATATATAGATCCTGAGCTCAAAGAAGTATGGCCTGCAGATATAAATATGTGTCATCTGAGTAGGCAGCAACTGAGTCCCTAGTCTGAATGACCTTCTTTAGGCGGAACAGTGAGAAGCTCAGAGGACGTCTTGTCCTGAAACAGCCCAATAAAACTTGTACATCACTCTTAGGGTACTCGGTAATGTCTTCCTTACATTTGAGTTGCTTATATGCATGCCTTATCTTCCCAACCAGTTTGGGTGTATATCTTGATAGCAGGGACCACATCTTACTCAGCTTCACTTTCCCAAAGACAAACACCTACAAGTATTTCCAGCTGTCTGCTCTGGTCACAGCCTTCCCGGCGGTGAAAGCCAGGCCACCTTAAGCTGCCACCAGTTCCCAGCAGTGCGAATAACACTGCGACTCCGTGACCCTGGGAAAACGCCAGTTGTCTCTGAGCTTCTTAGGAATCAGTAAAATGAAAAAGGGCGAAATATTCTAGAGGAGGTGCCTCAAGGGTTAAGTGAGATCGCGTGGGCGAAACCGCTACACCACGCGGGGGCTGTTTCCAGCGTCCCCGGGCGGGGGCGGCTCCGGGCGGCGGCGCAGGGATGAAGCCGCTCCAACGGCTGCCCCCGTCATCGGGTGCCGAGCCCCGCGCCCACCCACTCAGGCCGCAGGCCGGGCAAGGGAACGCCGCCGCGCGACCCGTCCTCAGCGTCCGCCGCGCCCGCCCGAGGGGTGCCGGGTCGCACGAAGGCAGCTCACCTGAGTTTGGACGGCGTCGGGCTCGCTGAGCTACCAGCGGAATCCGCGGCGCGGCTCTTCCGGAGGATGAGGGAAAGAGCCCCGGCCAGGAAGTCCCGCCCTACGGGCCCGCCCACGGGGCGTGGCCTCTGCGCATCCCGCCTCCGGAGGCGCTCGCAGGCTCGCTTTTTCTTCCTCTGGTTCTTTGACTTTCGAATTCCTTTCCATTTCTTGCGGTTTCTTCTATAGTTTTTTAAATTTTTATTTCCTCTTTGTTTTGCTCATCCCTTCTTCCGTCTTCCATTCCTTTCCGTTTTCCCATTGCCCTTTCTTTTATTCCGTACTACTCTTTTGGCAAAATGCAGTTAGGGGGTATGACTCAGACTTTGAGGTTTTGCAGCTTTTATTTGCCAAACCTGTACTAGGCAAAACTACAATACATGTATGTACATATATACTATAATAAACCTATGACTGATTAATAGACAATTGATGACCAGTACCAACTGCCCCTTTTCTCCATAGTTCATTTGATTACCATTTATTGAGGACTTGCCATGTTTCAGGCTCTTGGGTCTTCATATGCATTATTTTATTCAAACATTGTAACAGTTTCATGAGGAAGATGAAATTAGCTTCAGCATATGGATGAGGAAACGGAGGCTCAAGAGAAATTACTGGACCTCAGGTCATACAGCAAGAGCAGAGCGGAACACACAGATTCCAAAGTCCACACTCAGGGAATGTATGGCACAATAAAGTTGTACTGTATGAGATATAAGGATTAGTTTATGGTCCTTAAAATGTTTCCTTTTCTTGAAATAATAGGTCTGGTATCATAGTATATATAGTTTTATCATTTCAATGCAAAAAATATCACAGATGTAGGATGTGCTAGTCACAACAGGACCAGGGAATGGGTTATTCAGCTCCTTGCTTTCCCGATTACTCCCCTTAGTTTGATCAAAAGACAGGGTATTTTCACCAACCTGTTGTAAATGAAAGTGTTCTCAAAAGATGAATGATGTCAACTGTTGGACCACTTCTCAGTCTCACAACGAGGCAGAATTTTGTCTTCATTAAAGAATGATGCCTTGGTATCTGATTTGAACATCTGGATTTGTCTAGCAAGTGATGCTTTTGTTTACTTGATTAAAAAAAAAACTTAAGAAATCAGCTTTTTGTTTTTCATTGTCAGTCATTTTAAAATAAATATCTTGCCAACTACATGGTGACAAGTGTGGATTCACAACCAAATAAAATTTTCCAGATCTTTGCACAACTGTCATCAGAGTCCTCTATGATTCTCCTTTAAAGGAATATGGTCCCACTGATATGGCAAAGCTGCTAAAATCAGTATAAGCAATGTGAAATAAGATAGAAGAGCAAATATCTTATTCAAATTAAAACTATTGCAGGCTGTCTTGCGAACAGTAAGTCCAATCTTTTCCTAGAGGCCTCAGCTGCTACCTCACAATTGTTTTCAAGTAATTCAGAGCTTTTAGTCCAAAGAAGCTTTTCTGCTCCCAGGAGCCTGCCTGCCTGACAGTGAAAAGAAGAATCCTCTAGTGCACAGAGAGGTCTAGAGCTCAGGTCTGATTTTGGCAGTATTGCAAACTGGTCCCGCACAATCCAAAAGATTTTTGTCCAATGCTGTGAGTGGTTCAGATGGATGCAAAAACTTCAGTACTTCAAACATTGCTCTTGGTTTTTCCTAAATGTGCCATTTTGGATGTGAACTGTTTTGTGCTGAAGACAATCGAGACCCTGTGAGTTCAATGCTAGTAGTTACCCCTTCCTCAGGGAAGCCCCTCAGACTCTCTTACACTACATGTCCAGAGCCCTCCACACCAGTGTGGGGACTGGGTTGGATAGTTAATGATGATTAGGACAATGGATACGTGCGGGAGCAGAGCAGAAGCAGGCTAGGCAAGAGTAATAATAGTTCAGTTTAGATGTAGATCAAGGTAACAGGACTTCAGTTTCCCCTCAGGAACTATAGATAATGTCCTGATGCATATCCTTGAGTTGTTTTACAAGAGCTGAGAGCCCACCAGAAGGACTGCATGGTCACTGCAAGTATGTAGACCCCAGAAGACTGGTTAAGTATGATTCCCAAAATATCTCCTGGTTACCTAATGCTCAACCAGTCAGATGTCCTGAGCTAATCACCTGTCCTGAAATCCTTACTCATCATTTTCCTTTTAAGCCCGTGCTTCTCAGCCAATGGGGAGTTTGGAATTTTAGAGCATTAACTCCCTGTTCTCCTTACTTGGTGCCCTGTAATAAACTTACTGTTTTTCACAACGCCCAGGTGTCAGTGTTCTGCTTGCTGCACCTTGGGGGGAGAGGATGGTTTGACGGTTCGGTAACAAATGGAAAGTTTTGCCCCTCCCTTAACTACCTAGAAAAATCTAAATTGAGTGTCTTTCCCAGAATAACAGTTATTATCAGAGGTAAATTTTATCTGAATGACCCATCTTTGTGGCAGGGCAAACATCTAATTACCACACATCTGCTCTTATTGCTCTATGACTTGCCCTTCTCCCCTTTGCAGCCCTAGGCCCTATTCCCATTCCTTAGCTCAGGAGGCAATATACACCTCATTTTACCTTTTTGTATTTGAACCACTCCTGTATATAGGGCTCCTGTATGTACAAAATCAAATTTGATTTTCTCTTGTTAATCTATTCCATGGCAATTTATATCCATAGACCAGCTGGAAGAACCTTTGAAAAGTAGAGGAAAATTTTTCCTTTTCAATATTTTGACATAACATAGGTTGGAATTCATAACACACATACAATTTTTCTTCTAGGAACAATGTACCAGAGAATAAGCCGTCTTAACGGTTGGAAAGAAACTTTATATAAAATTGGCTTAGCTTCCTACAGTATGGGAGAATATATTTGTAAATGACATATTGACAAGGGGTTAACATCCAAAATATATAAAGAACTCACACGCTCCAACACCCAAAAAGCAAATAACCCTATTTTAAAAAAGGTGGAGGATATGAACAGATACTTCTCCAAAGAAGAAATTCAGATGGCCAACAGGCACATGAAAAGAAGTTCCACATCACTAATCATCAGGGAAATGGAAATTAAAACCACCATGAGGCATCACCGCACACCAGTTAGGATGGCCAACATAGAAAAGCCTAGGAACAACAAATGCTGGTGAGGATGTGGAGAAAGGGGAACTCTCCTACACTGCTGATGGGAATGTAAATTAGTTCAACCATTGTGGAAAGCAGTATGGAGGTTCCTCAAAATGCTCAAAATAGACTTACCATTTGACCCAGGAATTCCACTCTTAGGAATTTACCCTAAGAATGCAGGAGCCCAGTTTGAAAAAGACAGATGCACCCCTATGTTTATCGCAGCACTATTTACAGTAGCCAAGAAATGGAAGCAACCTAAGTGTCCATCAGTAGATGAATGGATAAAGAAGATGTGGTACATATACACAATGGAATATTATTCAGTCATGAGAAGAAAACAAATCCTACCATTTGCAACAACATGGATGGAGCTAGAAGGTATTATGCTCAGTGAAATAAGCCAGGCAGAGAAAGACAAGTACCAAGTGATTTCACTAATCTGTGGAGCATAAGAACAAAGCAAAAACTGAAGCAACAGAACAGCAGCAGATTCACAGAACCCAAGAATGGACTAACAGTTACTAAAGCGAAAGGGACTGGGGAGGGTGGGTGGGAAGGGAGGGAGAAGGGGAATAAGGGGCATTACAATTAGCACACATAACATCAGGGTTGGGGAGTGGGGCACAGGGAAGGCAGTATAGCACAAAGAAGACAAGTAGTGACTCTATAGCATCTTACTACACTGATAGATAGTGAATGTAAGGGGATATATGGTGGGGACTTGATAATGGAGAGAATCTAGTAACCACAATGTTGCTCACGCTCATGTGATTGTATATTAATGATACCAAAACAAACAAAAAATTGGCTTACCCCTCTTCGTCTGCATCTTTTATCTAAACACAGATGGATGTGTAAAAAGGTTGGTATGAATTCAACCAATTAGACAGCTTGCTTTATGCCTCCCATTCTTAAAAAAAATAAAATAACAAGGAATTTCATCCCTATCCAAGTTAAGACAAATTTTACTATTTACAAATCTCAAGTCTTCTGCAATACATCTATAAGGGAAATAAAATATATTCCAAGTTCCATTCAACTGCTTTTAAGGTGTAAGATGATTCAAACATGCATAGAATAACAATAATAATAGAGTTTTCTCTGTTAGGTGGTGTTCTGAGAACATTAATATTAGTCTTCACAATAATACTGTGAAGTAGGTACCACCATTATCACCACTTTCTACATGAATTTAGGCATAGAAATATTAAGTAGCTTGGTCAGTGTCATCCAGCTGGTGACAGAGCTGGAATTGAAGAACCAAGCATAGTCTGGCTTCACAGTATATGATCTTGACCTCCATAGATATTACTAATTAATTCAATTTATAATGAGCCGCGACTCTGTTCAAGGTATTGTGCTAAACATTGTAGGAAATTCAAAAAATAGTATGTGGCTGCTGCCCTCATGAAGCTCATAATTTGGTTCCTGTCTTAACTAGAAAATTACCTTCATATATGGTTATTCCCATAACTAGAACCTTCTTTACTTTATCCCATCACCCTGTCCATGGTGTTAGCCTAGAGTTTTATGCCAGAATGACAGATTTAAGTAGTTGAACAAAATTTTAAACCTCACTGAATCTCTTCATTTTTTGGATTTGAAAGCTGAAGTGCACAGAAATGTCTTGTTGATCAAGTACAACTAAAAAGGCCATTTCTTGTCTCCCAATCAGTAAAATATGTTCATGCAAAGTTATGTAAGTTAAATTTGTGTAAGCTTATCTTTAATTAAAACCCTAATGGAGACTTCTGTTTAAAGGAGTCAGTAGTACAATATCCCATATAGGAAATTATCATTTTATAAAATGAATAATAACCATCTACCATCATGCCAAGCCAGATGTTTTATAGAATTTGCTATTCATATGCTGGATTTGATGAAACTAAAAAAAAAGGGTGCTGGTTGCTTATCAACTGGCAAACTAAACAATAATTCCCTAATAGTATGGGTGAGGTGATGAATAACACTGATAGGAAAATGTTCAATGTTTTATGCCCCATCAGAGTTATCAGATTGATGTTTCAAACCACATCAGATATACCAGGATCAAAACCAGTTTAAACTGTGATAAAATAATAAAGCAGGTAACACTTACTGAGCACATATTATGTGCCAGGCACTATTCTAAGGCCACCGTAAGTTTGTTTTCATTTATTTACCATGACAATCTGATGGAGTTCACCTTACTATCTGCATGTTAAGACAAGGAAACTACTACAGGGAGATTAAGCAATTTGCCTTCAACTACAGGGGTAGGAACTGTGGGAAGCAGGATTATTTAGAGCAACAGTTCTTATTTTTTATGCCCAAACTCTTTGGAGAAGAGTACATACTGGAACTAGATACTAAAATTGTCAATGAAAATTCAAAAGTGATATAAAAACAAGCATACTATTCATTTGGGCCCTAGTCTGTGCTTCTATACTTTATTTGAATCACCACATAGGAAATGCTGTAGACATTACTGGGAGTATCAAAATGAATATTGTTTATATTATATTATATTGTTTATATGTTCATAATTTTCATGTTTAATGGCTTATAGCAATAGGGGAAGGATATGAGAGAAACATAGCTCTATATCAAGCCAGGTTGGCTAAATATTATGAGTATAAAAAAATTGTGATGAAAATTTAATTTACAGGCAGCTAAGGTGATGAGCAAAAACTTCCATGGCAAGGGTGACATTTGAACCAGGTCTGTAAGAATCATCAAAATTTAGACAGAGATCAGGTAGGCCCCTCAGGTTGTAGGAACAGTGTGAATAGGTACAGTGCGAACAAAGGCAGTCACAAGATACCAAGTAATCCTGTTAGACTGGGGCAAAGTCTGTGAGTAAGGAAGTGGGAGAGGAGATGAAACTGGAAAGCTAGAATTAAGTCAGATAGTAGAGCATAATAAATGCCTTACTAAGAAATACAAACTTCATTCAAAAGGCAAACAGGCACATGATCAGTTAGATTTTAGGAAGATTCATTTGACAGTGATTGGAGAATGGATAGAGAAGCCAAAGCCACTTAAGAAAGGTTTAGGGAAGCAGCAATATAGGATAGAATAAAAGTAGTAGTGCTGGGAATGGAGAAGAGACTGATTAATATTCTAGGAAAATTTCTAGAGGAAATAATTTGACAATAATGAAGAATAAGGAGGGAAGAAAGGAGAAGAGGGGGAAGAGATGATCCTGTGTTTCAGGGTGAACTAATACCTTTAGAGAGAGATGTGGAAGATGAGAGGAATTGCAGTTATGAGAGCAGAAATGCTACATTTAGTTTAAGACATACTGATTTTGATGAGTCACTGTGTGAGCATTTACTGAATGCTTATTATGTGGATAGGCCTTCTGTAAATACTTGGGATATATCAGTCACTATAGGAGTTTTTTGTTTTTTGTTTTTATAATTGCTCTTTCCTATTTAAGAGGCCATAATAAAGTATCACATTAAAATCCAACTATATGAAACATTTCTAAACCAGCATTGAAGAGTGGTCTCCTTCCTTTGAATCCCTCTCCTTTAAACTGTCTGTACTACTCATTGGGTGTGTCTAACACATAGGATTTTATACATATAAATATTTCTCACCCAATGTCAAATTTTCAATCAGATCACAAATGAGTTGAGAGCAGGCATCATTTTAGACATTCTTTGAATCTCCCCACAGTACCTCATTCAGAGTAGGAATTCAGTAATGCCTTGTTAGACTGGGGGATGTTTTTTCCTTTTATCTTCTATGATAAGGATACATCTTTTCTTAGCCTTGTAGAACAGAAGTATCAGTAACATTTCACATCCAGAACACATGGCCACTGTAAAAGGAGCGACAGAAGCTAAATCTGCCTTGGACTGTGAAAAAGAGAGCTGAATAATAGCAAGGGCTAAAAAACTATTCAGTAGCCCACTTTCAATAGCAACAGTTTTACAAACAGGAAGAGGCAGCATAGAAATTTTAGCAAAAGAGTACCCGAACAACAAACCCAAAGCAGGAACTAGGACACCCAGTAGAAGCACCTCTAGGTTAACTGTTCTTAGAAACATTAGTCCTGTTCTGAAAGTCAAATAAATCCCTACAAAGAGTAAAATAAAACTCAGAGGTCTAATTATTCTCTCCAGAAAGTTTGCTTTTTCAGGTATTCTACGCTTGATGACTATTCCAACTGATGTAGGTATAAGTATAAAAAGGAGTGTTGACATAATTTTAGAAACAGGAATATGAAATGTACCCGATAACCCTAACATCCTACTGTATATATAAGAATTGGCAGGCATCATGATCAGGGCCAAAAATGTTGAAGTGCAAGTCATCAAAATGGCCAAAGTGACATCTCCTTCTAGAAGCAGAGCAAAGAGATAGCCTCCACCACCTCCTGGGCATGTGCAGGTCATTACAAATCCAAAAGCCTGTGCCTCAGGCAGTGCCATAATCTGTGTCAAAAGAAATCCACAAAATGGCAAAAGAAAAAACTGTGTAACTGCCGTAAGAAGTACTGGCAAAGGTCTCTTCCATACTGTTTGAAACACCTGCAATTCAATCTTGCAACCAAATGCACATTTATTTAACAATATCATCAGTAGAATAAGCATTAGAAGATTTCTATCGATGTGCATAGATGCCTGTAAAAGACCATCTTTTTGTTTGAGCACTTTGACTTTAACATTCTTTATTTCTTCAATTAGTATTTTTTGCCTACCTTCAGAATCCCATAGTTGAATGGTCAAATTTGTCTCTCCATCTTCATCAGCCGCTAGGTTTATGGTAAAGTTTGTAATGTCCGATAAGGTCTTTGTCACATTCACCACTTGTAGCATTTTAGGGTCTTCTGATTGCACAAAGAGGTAGCTGGAATTTGGCTGTTTATCTCTGTAACTTGATCTTATAATAATTTCTTCAGTCTTTGTGAAAAGTAGTATTTCAGTCTTTTCTATATTCAGAAAACTGAGAAACGATTTCCTTTCTTCTCCCAGAGTCACAAACAACAAAAGCAGGATAATAAAAAGTTTTCTAAGCATGTTGAAAGCTTAAATAAGTCACATATGCAAAAACATTTTTAAAAAACTAAAGAACATTCTTCATACAAGTGTTCCTGTGATGATCAGAGGTTGTTAGATAAATTGTCTTTGCTGGATCAAAGTTCAGGAGGAGGAACTGTTGTAATTTTCAAACAAATACAAAGCTTTCTAGTGATTGACACAACCTGTTTAACCTGTACATGAAAATATAAAAGCCTTAGCATTTAAAAGGTTTGATTTATCACAACAGAAACCTAATCTCTTTCCTCATTTCTGCTACTGAAAAAACAACCTGCTATTTACCTGAATTTAAAACCTTAGTGTAATCACTTTGAGTTCTTTTCCATTCTGAGGAAAAATCTACATTAAAAGCAATTAGGATCCAAAAATCTAAAATAAATCGAGGAGGCCTATAGGTGGGTGTTACAATTTTATTCATTCAAGTCAAAATCAAAAGTTTACTGAACACGTTTGCTGGGGCACTGATCTAGGAGCTGGGTATACCACAGTAATCAAGCCAGATACGGACTTTGCCTCCTAGAGCTTAGTCAGGTGGCCTCTTATCATTACTTAAAAAAATTGCACAGCCTGTAGATCAGTCCTGAGGCATCCTTAGGCTGCTAATAGTTTTCCACAACTCTAAAGACTGATTGTAGTGGTTACGTAAAATCTGAAACTATTTTTGGTGTCCTTAAATAGATAAACAATTTCCTGGATGGATACCAGATAGCTTGGGAAGCTAGATGGCTGGATCCATGGCCAAGGTACAGCCTGGTTAAGGGGCCACTACTGCTGGACACTTGACCCGGACACAGTGGGGCAATGGAAGGCCACTGGCACTAATTCTAATCTCTTATTCCTTCCTTGTAACACTATTCCCTATACAACAACTAGGGGCAAGGATGGTCAACTGATCTATCTTAGATCATATACCTGTGCCTTGGCTGCCAAGAATATGGAAAAGTATCAAGCTTTTAGTAGTACCTCAACCTTCAGACTCACAAGCCCTCTCCTATTTCCAAAGAAGAGGGGGTTCTGATGTTAAGCACAAAGATAAGAAAATAATTAAAAAAATCACAACTGTCTACTATTGAGCCTCCAGATTTAGTAGTCTCTACACATATAACCAATTCATCAGATCCCTCATATAATTATAACAGTCTATCAAATGCAACAATGATAGTTGTTAGGTATTTTAGATCATAAAATATTGCCCCTCGAAGCAATTATTATTCTTTAAAAAATTTTTTTATATTCCATTTATGTAGGTTAATCTTTTAATTGCAATACACCCTATTTTCATATATTTTATTTCCACATACTACATTAAGAAAAGCAAGATACATTGTACCAATGTTGAAAAAAAAAAAGTTATGAAACCAAAGCTATCTTTACAGTTATGTGACTTAATATTTTAATTCACAATTTTTGTTGCCAAGGTCAAGGATGTGAGGTACATAAATTTTATTTCCCTCGTATTCATCTATGTGTAAACTTTTCTCCTTATCTGAAAACTGCCAGGAATAAAATCTTAGAAATCTGGGAAAAATCTGGTAATATATTACTCACATGTATTTACTGGTTCATTAATTTAAACTGAAGCTCACTTATATCATAGTGTTATTACAAATGTTTATTTGACTTTAACACTTTTTTTTTCTATTTGTGGATTTTCTACTTGAAGTTAGTTGTCTGTGAAGAGATGGAAAAATACAAGGGTGCAGTGGAGACAGTCAAATCCTAAAAGTTCAGTAAGCACACTCAACTGAAAGCCCTAAAAGAAAGCCTGAGAGTTATCTGATTTCAAAATAATTTGGAAATAAGAAGCTAGAATAATTTTCTTTCTTGTCCACACATTGTTCTCTTTAGGAGACTGCTCATGTTAGAGGCCCTGGTCCCTAGAGCCTCTGAGGACACTGTACCTCTGCCCCAAACTAGCTTGTGCCACTCTCTTGGCCCTGACCTGACTTACTGTGTCAGGTGTTTACTTACTGCCTGGTGACATATGTGTTTCCCTCCATGCTGCTTTGTCTCTTTTCTGTCTAATCATTAATAGGACCTCTTCTTCACCCTCCCAAGGTGTAACTCAATCTCTGCCAGTCTTATCTCCTCTCTTTTCAACCCCCATTGGTATATTTTCTGGTACATTTAGCTTTAGTTCAATTCATGACATGTGTTGATCACCTATAATGTGCAAGTAATTATGACAGACCTAAGGTATTAGCTTCTATTAAAACTTTCTGGTATCTGGGAATACATTTAAGGATTATTTCTACTTCTAGTCTTATAGTTTCTAATGAAAAGCTAGTGGAACATAGCTATATACCTACTCAATTGGCACTTGCCACACTGCTTTGTATTATACTTATAGGTATACTGCTTTGTATTATACTTATAGGTATGCACACATCTCTTCATTATATCCACCATGGCAATGAGAATCAAGTCCTTACATTCAGTAGGTACTTGAATAATGACATTAATAAAGGAAGATAGAAGTCATTCTATCAGTCATTAACAGCTGATAGAAGTCAGAAGTTATCTTCATTCCTTGTATGAAAATATGAAGAAAGAATCAGAGATAAAATGAACATTCTTAAGTTTATTCCTTTAATTAAATCTAAAGCCACTGTATGTGTTCACAATTAAAACAGAAAAGGAACAAAGAAACAAATAGAAATAATTTCTATTCATTCTATATAGGAGTACTTTGTTAAGTATACATGGAATACATTGGTCAGTAGCACTAATTTTAATGTGCTGCTAAAATGTAATCACTTTTGGCATGTATTCTGTTTTGGTATAAACATTTGGCACATGTGTCTTCTCATTTGTAATACATTCATACAGACAAAAAAGGTGAATCCCACTGGAGGAGGATCTTCATCAGAAATATGTCCCAAAGCAGTTAGGTGAGATCAAGAAACTCATTTTCCCTCCCTAGGCCTAAGATTCCTCATCCAAAAACTTAGATGAGTGAATGAGATGATCTCTAAGTTTCTGTGATTCATGTACACACACAATTCATAGATCATGACACAGGCAGATAGTAAGGCTATTTCTGGCCCCAAGATGCTAGGATTGGCCATGTTACTTGCATAAAGCAAAAGTGATATGTGCATTTCTTTCTTCCTCTTTCATAAAAATGGTAGAATTCCTAAAAAGCAATCATTCTTTCGCCTTAGTACCTAAAGATGACACATAGCAGAGTCACAGCCAATTAACAGCAGATATAAACCAAGTAAAAAACACATCTTTGTTAACACTAAAGCATAACCTATTAAAAGCTAATTCAGTACGGTAATAATTGAATTATCAGTTCAGAATTAAACTTTAAAACACAAAAGTTCAAATTCAATTTCATAGAAAACTGATAATGGAAATTATGACATAATGGAAATCAATTTTTTTAAAACTTAAAAAAAATTATATAGTATTTGTGGTAAAAGAAATGAACTTAACATAGAATTTTCCTTGTCATTCCTGGCTTGAATCCTTGAATGACTATTCCAAGTAAGAATCAACATTTTTTAAAAACTGTTCTTCATTATTAAGGTATTCTAAGATAATATTTCCACCATTGTATAAAGGACAATCCTCCTTAGTAGTCCAGGTTTCCAAAGTATGATCCAAAGGTAAGGCTTCTCCTGAAGAAATGTGACACAACCTTAATTTCTGTTAAGAAAGAAAGAAATACTATAATAAATAAAAATGTTTATAAAGATTATCTTAAAGCTTTTAGGGGAAAATTATTATAACTAGTTGTTACCTTAGCTGTTAACTTGTTATTGTCATTTTTAAGACTGGCTAAAGAAGCTGCAAAATCTATGACTTTTCCAATACTCCATCGGTGGCAAAAGAACATTGGTTTGCTCTTCTCTTTGTTCCCTTTAGGTAAGAAAACCTGAAAGTAAACTCTTTCTGCCTGTAAAAATTATAAGTTAAAATACAGAATTATATGTATGAAACAGACATGTTTTTGTCTGGTAAGATCTCTTCCTTTCTTCTCCTGGTCTGAGTAGGATTACCCTCTAATGATGCACCTTTTGGTGGGAATCCCAATCACAGTACCCCAGGATCCCCCTAAATACATAGGCATAATACCTAAGACCCTAAACTGTGAGGGGGTAAATTGTGCAAAGGCAGGCATATCACGTATTTAGGCCCATCAAGGTCTTTTACTGGGATTTTACATTCAAAAACTTGGGGGAGGGAGAGGCAATCTTTTTTCAGAGTTTTTTTAAACATCATATTGAATTAAACCTGGGTTGCCTTATCCCCCATGCCGCTCAGCCATTCATGGACCAATGTGTAAAAGATTCCCTCAATTGGGAAACAATGAGTCAAACACACAAAAGACAAAACCAGGAAACAGACTGACTCTTTCAATAGCAACTGACTGCCAAAATTCAGTAATCCCTTGAAACCAGGTCAATGCGTCCCTCTCCATTATATGAGAAAAAAAATTTTTTGATTAAGCTAGTTGTTATCAAGTTTCTGTCATTTGCAATAGAAAGGTTCCTGATATATATTTCTTTTCACCTGAAAGACCTTACCACATATAGGCATATCTAATTTTACTGTCCTTAACTTTATTGCACTTCACAGATAATTTGTTTTCTTTTACAAATTGACGGTTTGTGACAATCCTTCAAGCCAACTTTATTGGCACCATTTTTCCAACAGCATTTGCTCACTTCATGTCTCTGCATCACATTTTGGTAATTCTCATAATATTTCAAACTTTTCATTAATAGTTTACTGTCTGCTGACCTGTGATCAGGGATCTTCAATGGTACTATTTTAACTGTTTTGGGGAGCCAGGAACCACACCCATACAAGTCAGCAAACTCAATGGACAATAAATGTGTGTTCGGACTACTCCACCTACTGGCCAGTTCCCTGTTTCTCTCCCACACCTCCAGCCTCCCTATTCCCCGAGACACAAAAGTACTGAAACTGGCCAAATAATAACCCTAAAATGGCCTGTAAATGTTCAAGTAAAGGGAGGAGTCTCATGTTTCTCACTTTAAATCAAAAGCTAGAAATGATTAAGTTTAGTGAGGAAGACATGTCAAAAGCCAGGACAGGTCAAAGGTAGGTCTCTTGTACCAAACTGTTGGCTAAATTGGGAATGCAAAGGAAAAGTTCTTGAGGGACATTAAAAGTGCTCCTCCAGTGAACACACAAACAGTTAAGAGAGTAAAACAGCCTTACTGCTGATATGGAAAACATTTTAGTGGTCTAAACAGAATATCAAATCAGCCACAACATTCCCTTAAGCCAAAGCCTAATCTAGAGTAAGACCCAAACTCTCTTCAATGCTATGAAGGATGAGAGACGTGAGGGAGCTGCAGAAAAGAAGTTGGAAGCTAGAAAGGTTACTTCATGAGGTTTAAGGAAAGAAGCCATCTCTGTAACAGTGAAGTGCAAGGTGAAGCAGCAAGTGCTGATGTAAAAGCTACAGCAAGTTATCCAGAAGACTTAGCTAAGAGAATTAAGGAAGGTGGCTACACTAAACAACAGATTTTCAATATAGATAAAACAGCTGTCTAGCAGAAGAAGATGCTATCTAGCACTTTGCTAGCTAGAGAGGAAAAGTCAATGGCTGGCTTCAAAGCTTAAAAGGAGATAATGCAGTTGGTGGCTCTAAGTAGAAGCCAATGCTCATTTATCATTCCAAAATCCTATGACCCTTGGGAATGTTAAATCTACTCTACCTGTGCTCTATAAATCAAACAAAGCCTTGATGACAGCACATCTGTTTAAAACTTGTCTTGCTGAGTATTTTAAGCCCACATTGAGACCCACTGCTCAAAAAAATATATTTTTTCAAAATATGATTGCTTATTGACAATGCACCTGTTCACCCAAGAGCTCTGACAGAGATGAGATGTACAAGTTAATGTTGTTTTCATGCCTGCTAACACAACATCCACTCTGCAGCCCATGGAGTCATGTCAACTTTCAAATCTTATTGAAGAAATATGTTTCATAAGGCAAAGTTGCCATAGATAGTGATCCCTCTGTTGGAGCTGGGCAAAGTTAATTAAAAATCTTCTGAAAAGGATTTACCATTCCAAATGTCATTAAAATCATTTGTGATTCATGAGCAGAAGTCAAAACATTAGCATTTACAAGAGTTTGAAGAAGTTTGTTCCAACCCTCATGGATGACTTTGAAGAGTTCAAGAGACTTTAGTGCAGGAACTAACTAGATGTAGTGGAAAGAGCAAGAGAATCAGAATTAGAAGTGGAGCCTGAAGATGTGACTGAATTGCTGCAATCTCATGATCAAACCTGAATGGAAGAGGAGTTGCTTCTTATTGATGAGCAAAGAAAATGGTTTCTTGAGACAGAATCTACTTCTGGTGAAGATGCTATGAAGATTTTTAAAATGACAACAGAGGATTTAGAATATTAGATAAAAACTTAGTTGATAAAGCAGTGACAGGGTTAGAAAAGACTGACTCCAATTTTGAAAAAAGTTCTACTATGGGTATAATGCTATCAAAAAAGAAATCATGAAAGGAAGAGCCAACTGGTACAGGAAACTTCATTGTCATCTTTTTTTTAGCAACTGTCACAACAACCCCAACTTCAGCAACCAGCATGCTGATCACTCAGCAGACATCAACATCAAGGAAAGACCCTCCACCAGCAAAAAAATTACAACTCACTGAAACCTCAGATGAAGGTTAGCATTTTTTAGTAATAAATATTTTTTATTTAAAGTATTGTATATTGTTTTTTCCAACACAAACTATTGCATGCTTAATAGACTACAGTGTAAACATAGCCTTTATATGCACTAGGAAACCAAAAAATTCACTTGACACTTTATTGTGATATTCACTTTATTGTGGTGGTTTGGAATCAAACCCTTAATACCTTGGAGATACGCCTATATTTAGAGATATTAGGGCTTTTGCAAACAGACTCTAAAAAAAAGTCAAGTACCTCATCAACAAAAGAGAAGGATTTAATCAGATTTAGAAACAGTTCCTCTAGTATTCTATACTGTATATTGTATTTTCTTGCTAAATTAATATACAATAAAGAAAGAGTAGGGGTAAAGGTCTTTGGCCTCTCTTGTTCCTTGATTCCTAAAAATCAATTTAAAAAGTGTTGGATTTATAGTCTGGTTCCTGATACAATAAAAAAAGTTGGCATAACTGAACATCTCTAAGTTATAGGGAAAGGGACTATTTTAAGAAATAACAAGTCCAACATAATTTCCGTCTCGGTCTAAGGAACTTTAGATTTGTTGAAGACTGGTGGAGTACCTTATTATAGATAGTAAGTATTAAAAGAAAAAGCAAGAAATCCATGGAAATTCAAGCTTTGTGCCAATGCTACAACTTAACAGTTCCTGCTCCAAAACTAATAACAAGAGCATAAATATGAAAAGGTAAATTTAAAAGATAAAGCCACACCTTAAAAGAAAAGTTAAATGTCTGAGAATCAAAAATGAAACAGAAATGCAAAATAATAGAAAGACATGCTGAGTTATAGGCTTTCAAGGCTCCAGAACAGGAAGAGGTAGCCAATAGTAAGAGTTCAGCATGTGGGTTAATGGGAAATAACAGCACTACCTGGAGATGAGGCACCTGGGTTGGGCTTACTGCTTGGAAAAAAGGTTAGTATGGGATCTGCACTCCAGGAAAGAAGGCTGAAGAAGTTACTGCTGCATGTTGACTTTTATTGCTTACAAAACCAATATTCAGGGAGTCAGAAAAGCACATATATAACTTCTTGACTGAACAAAGCTAACATCTTCCAGATCAATAAATGGATCTGCAATAATATGAATATTTCTGTAGGGCACGCATAACCTGCCAAACATAAACTTGAATTTGGAATGGAGTTCCTGGGTAGGTGTGCTGGTGGAAGAAAATGCAAAATTGCTAGACAGGGAAACATGAGTTAGAACAGTGAGAGACATAGAAAGAACCTCCTATTCAAGATGACCATGCAGAATCTATAAACTAAAGTTAAAAATAAATACAAGGTTACCTTACTATGGACAGTTATTGAAGTTAACTGAACTTGAAAAAGACATTTAAAAAAGTTATTTAGGACACTTAGTGAGATAAATTAAGGAACAATATCCATAGAAAAGGAACAAGAAGTTATGAAACCAAAATAGGCAAAGCTATAAAGTTGAAAAGCTGAAGATGAAATAAGAAAAGCTATGAAGAATTAGAAATATAAAAATTTTTAAATACAGTTTCTGAAGTAAGAAATTCAAACAGGATAAATTTTTATAATGTTTAAGAAAAAGGCTTAATTGATTGGAAGATGAATTTAGGAAATTGTCTACAATTTAGGACAAATAGACAAAAAGAAATTATAAATCCAAAAAAATAGGTCTAGTAAGAGTTTCAGAAGAGAAGAAACAATACTCAGAGAAAAAATGACTACCTAAGCTGGGTAATTAAAACTGGAAGCTATCATGGATAAAATTTTTAAAACTACCATAAAAAGACAGATTCTCCATAAAGTTATAAGAAGACTGACAGCAGATTCTTTCCCTGCAATAGACAACAGAAGCCAATGAACAGTACACTAAAAGAGGTGAGAGAGAGACAGTCCAGCTCAAATGAAGGCAAAATAAAGGTACTTTCAGCCATAAAAGACTAAACGAGTTTACCAACAAAGATTCTTAATGAATGAACTAATAAAGAATGTACTTTAGCCAGAATAAAACTGAATCCTAAAGAAAGGAGAAACTCAAAAAATGTGTTGGTAATTTAAATACCTACTGACTTAAAAATAGTCATGTGTGACCAAAGACAATGGGATGGGAGATATTCAAAGGGAGAAAGCATGTCATGCTCCTTGTCTTACTCAAGAGGATACAATACCAAGTACCTTCAGATTTTGAAGAAAAATTGATATTTTATTATATATGTTAAAAATTAAA